TGGCTCAGTGGGTTAAAGCCTCTGCCTTTGGGATCAAGCCCCGCATCAGGCTCTCTGCTCAGTGGGGAGCCTGCTTCCCCCCCTCCTCTGCCTACTTGTGATCTCTGTCAAATAAATAAATAAAATCTTAAACAAAACAAAACAAAACAAAACACTGCCATCTCCAGAGGACCGGAATAGACAGTTTTTCTGAAGACAAAGAGATGGCCAACAGACACCTGAAAAGATGCTCAACACCACTTATCAGGGTAATGCAACTCAAAACCACAATGAGTTATAACCTCATGCCAGTCAGAACGGCTAGTATCTAAAGAAATAAGTGTTGGCGAGAATGTGGAGAAAAGGGGACCCTGTGCACTGTTAGTGGGGGAGGAAACTGGTGCAGCCACTGTGGAAACCAATATGGGGGCTCCTCAAAAAATTAAAAAATTCCACCTCTGGGCATTTACCCAAAGAAAACAAAAACACTAATTTGAAAAGATACATGCACTCCTGTGTTCACTGTGGCATTATTCGTAAGAGTAAGATATGGAAGCAATTCAGGTGTCCATGGATGGATGGACGGATGAAGAAGATGCGGTATATATACACAACGGAATATTCTCAGCCATAAAAAGTGAAATCTTTACACTTACAAAATGATGGACCTAGAAGGTATTATACTGAGAGAAATAAGTCAAAGAGAAAAAGACAAATACCATATGATTTCACAGATGTGGAATCTAAAAAACAAAACGAGAAAAAACAAAAAAACAGAAACGGACAGTAAATACGGAGAACCAACTGGTAGTTGCCGGAGGAAGTGGGTGGGATGGAAGGATGAGCAACACTGTAAAGGAGATTAAGAGAGTACAAAATTCCAGGTATAAAATAATAAGTCGCAGAGATGAAAAGTACAGCCTAGAGAATACAGTCAAGACCGTACGGTAAGAGATGCTAACGACACTTGTCCTGGTGATAATGGACAGACGGCTGAAATCACTGGACCACTACGTTGTGTACCTGGACTAACAGAACACTGCATGTCAGCTATACTTTAGTTAACAAACAAAAAACCACATACAAAAAACCAATAGCATCTCAGACTGACCCCTGGATAACATGTGTTACCAGAGAAGCATTAACAAAACCTTTGAAAATGGAGCTAATACTGGAGTTACCACCCACAGAAGACAGAACGTGCAGTCTGAACCTAACCAGGGTCACTGCCTATTTACAACAACAACAAAAATCCTTTTTCTTTTCTTTTTTTTTTTTTTAAGAGTAGGCTCCACACCGCGTGGAGCCCAACGTGGGGCTTGAACACACAACGCTGAGATCAAGAGTCAGACACTTAGCCAACTGAGCCACCCCCCAAGTGTCCCCTAACACAAAAATCTTAACATTCTCCAGAGGATTACACAACAGGATCCAAAGTGGACACAACATAACATTTCAAATGTCCAGGATACAATCCAAAAGTACTTGACATACATCCCCACCCCTGACACCACAGAAACAAACAAAAAAATACCAAAAAATCTCCAGGAAAATGCAACCCACTCTTAAGGGAAAAAACAAATAACCCAGATTTGGGGAATCACCAATGACTTTAAGCAGCTATTGTAACTATATTCCAGAAGGTAAAGGTAAAATGGTAAGAAATAATGACGTTCTGAGCAGAGAAACAGACCTACATGCGAATTTTGAACCCAAAAAACCGGAAATTAAAAATTAGCACTGGGTAGGCTCAGGAGGACATGGATATGACAGAGGAAAGAGTCAGTGGACCTGAAATTAAATTGAAGAGTCATTATACAATCTGAAGGACAGGAAGTTTAGGGAAGAAAATGAACAGAGAGCATCAATGGTCTGTGAGATAACATCAGAACTCTGATATCACTGAGTCCCAAAAGGAGAGGAGAAAGGGATTAGTGCAGAAAAAAAACACTTGAAGAAATAATGGCCACAAACTTCTCAAATTTGGTAGAAGACACAAATGTAGAGATTTCAATGCTCAGTGAACCCCAAACACAGGTTAAACTGAAACAACAACAAAGTGGCCTATTTCCTTCAGTCTCTCTCTTGGTGACCTACTAAGGCTTCTTGTAAATGTTATCATTCCTAAGCCATTAATTCATGTTGCGTTCATTGAGCCAATGCATCCTTTCATTTCATTGAAAACACCACTGATTATAAGCAGCACCGTTATTTCGTGTAGCATCTAAAAATGCTGCCAATTAATTTTAAGGTTTCCTTATAAAGGACACATCCTGATTGCACAGCTGTGAAAACATAAAAAGGGCATCTTAGAATAAATACAAAACTTTGTGTTGAGCCCTGCCTGAGCGCTGGACACTGTGGTGAGGAGAACAGACACAAGCCCACTCCTGACGTTGCTCCTCGCTCTTCTTGGTTTAGCGGAAAGGACAAAACGTGTGTTCAGAAGAAGTCAATAATCTATGATGTTAAAACTCTTGTGCAGAGCCACACTCCTCCCTCTCCCTGCTTTACAGCCCTTTGCTCCGAGTAAGAGTAAGAGAGAAGCACAATCCAACAATAACCAATCATTCTCTTCATCTTTATCAGACTTTTCTGGAAAGGGTGAGATGCTAGGTGAGCTGTTCTTTCCCTTTAAATTTTAGCCACTCCGTCCCACCCCCCAACAAAAATGTCTTAAAAAACTCCACCCGTTGTTTGCTAATTTCCTTACATTCATGAAGATTACTTTTGTCTTAACCTGGGACAGTTTTATGTATCTTTAGAGTCCACTTCATTTTCAAATTATTGACAGAGTACTAAGCGCAGTAGAAATTAAGTTTAAATAAGTATTTAAAAAGGAAGTTTCAGGTTTTTAAAATTGCAGCGGCCGTTAACTGACAACCAAGTACGTTGTTCTCTTCATAGTACTGGACCCCTTGCTCCCACTTTTGAGATGAAACCTAAGCTGTAAGAGCCTCTGTGTGCGTCTCTAACGAGATCCGACTCCTAGCTAGTAAGCCTTTGCTGAAAACACATGCACACCCCATTCCTGCTACCAGATTTGAAACTCTAGATTCCTTACTCTTTCCTTTTTCCAGATGTATAATTTTTTAACCCCTGTGTTTCAAATTCATTTTGCTTATGCTACTATTCTGATTCATAAGGAACAATCTCTGTGACGGCAGGCCCCTGACATCCCAGCAGCGGCCCACCAGCTGGCACATCTAGCACTGCCCTGATGAAACGCCTCTCTGAACACCCCCTTCTCAACTCCAAGCCACTGGTCTGCTCTTTACATCCAGAGAGAGGATGAAAAAACAAAACCAAACCAAAAATCCACACCACAACACTGGTTTCCTAATGAAACAGACTTCACATGGTCAAATCTACTTGAACGTGACCAGAGAGCTGTTTTCCATAGGGCCTTTAGCTCTTCTGGCAGCCCTGCTCCAGAGGACAAGGTCAGCTTTACAGAGTTTGCAGGTCTGCTAATGGACAGGATGCCGTTCGGCTGACAAGGGTTGGGACAGTCTGGCTTTAACTGTCCCCGTCCAGCCGACTGGGCTAAGTAATGCAGGCAGCAGAGGCCTCTTCTCTGGAACACCACAGCGGCTTCCTGGGAGCCTAGCTATAGTCGAACACCTAAATGCTCATGCCGTGAGCAAACTCTGAGGGATGACCTACAATTCTAAACCCTTCCATTTGGATGCCCCCAAAAGCCCTCTGCATTTGCTGTCCTGGAAAGAGAGTAGTAGCAGCTCGATCCCTGGGGGAGATCCTTTCAGATGAGCATGGAGCCTTTGTGTGGCTCAGTCTGCAAACCACAACATAGAAGTAAACTGCAAACCGATTTCATTTGCTGCGCCACATGTGGGGCCAACTTACCAAGCCTGGTTTGTTTTTTGCTTTTTAAGAGAAAAACTGGACATACAACGAGGAGTTCAATTCTTGAGCTCAGAAATTATCAGCCATTTTAGGAAGCCTTGAGAACCAATTTTCTTTCAACAGAGCACACTCACATTATCTTCCAGCTCTAAGGGAAGGGGGTAGTAGAGGGCTGAAGGTCAGGAGTTGAAAATATTATTTGACACAATAATTATTTTTGCAAGCTGCTGCACTGGTGCGGCAGAGGTCTGAGACTTGGCACACGGGAGTGCCCGCCTTGCGATCTGATCCCCCCACCGAGCAGCCCACCACCTGCAGCCCGGGGCCGGGCCCGGGGGAGGGGGCGCCAGCAGACCCTGGCCTCCAGCCATGCTACCTCTCTTCAGGGCACTGGATCAGACATGGCAGATAACCAGCCAAAAAAAAAAAAAAAAAAAAGACAAGGAAAAGAAAAGACAAGGGAGAGAAGGGACAGGAGGGAAAAAGACCTAAAATTTGGACTCAGAGGGTCTTTTCAAATACTTTAATCCTTTCGTACTGGTGGATCGTGGAGCGTCCGTTACTGGCACTGGGCCCTGTAGCAGGAAAATCCGACTCCCCAAGCCAAAGCGTTGAAGAGAAGACTGCTAATCAGCTAAATAGAAACTGGAATCTGTTCCCATCAAGTCCCTTTTTTCCCCCATCACCAGAGGGACACCATAGTGTTCTGAAATACACTCTTGACATCATTTGGCAGGCAACCCTATTCTGCTGAACATGATTCAGCCCTTAGGTTATTGTTTTTAATATTAGAAAGTGAGCTTTTAAATGCCAGACAAATTTTGCAGCAGGGGGACAAAAGATATTCCAAGTGGTCTCACTGGACCTTCTACCAACTGTGTCCACCAAATGGCTTAAAAGACCACCTTCCCATGGCGTTTCAGAAACGACGCAGAGAGCTAGCTCTGTCCAACTATTACCTAATGCAAGACTTTGTTCTCCAAGTTCACGGAGACGGTATTTAAAGATCAGGCTGAACCGAGGCGGCAAGGCTGTGGGGTGAGAACTCAGCCGTGCGAGCAGCAGAGGAAATGAGCGAGCACAGCGGAGGCGAGGGGCAAAGACCCGGCAGAAGGCCACCGTGGCTGCAAAACATGGCTCTCACTCACACCTACCTCCTGTCCATGTTGCCGCTGACCATGAGGTTGGGAGGGCTGTCTCTGAGGTTGACGCAAGTGAAATCGCCAAGCGCGTTGCCCAGCTTTGAGAGGCACCGTTCTGCTTCCAGGCTGTACACCAGGATCTGGGAAGGAAGGAAGATATGTGGGTGTGCGGCTGCTTACAGCAGGGCCCCATCCAACACTTCTTATCCCAGACCATCACCCAGCTCCCCTTAACGGAGATGTTCTGCTGCATAATTTCCTGACCTTTTCCAGCACAGGGATATGGCTCTTAGAATGACAAAAGTACATGCAAAAGAAAATAAAAGAACAGCCAAAGAATTCCTCAGGCCAAGGTACAAAAATCGTAAGACACAAAGGAAAACGCCAAATGGGGACGTTAGGTATCCCAATTTCCTAGCCCAGAAAGAGCAGCATGGAAACTAAGAGTCAGTGACGGCGTCAGATTGGGAAGCTGCCTTCTGATCTTCTGATGTCCACAGATGTGCCAGCCTGTGTTCTCTCATTTTTCCCATCTCTGTATTGCTATCCCAGAAGGTGAAAGAAAGAATGGTACTATTTCCAGGAGGATGGAGAGTTAATCACTACATGACAGATGATTTCTTTAGACTAAACTACAAACCAAAACACAAAGTCTTATTCCCAAACGTTAAAACAAGTTTCTTAAGTGAGGTATAACTGACATCCCCAAACATGTCTCTCTTCAGCCACTCTCCCCTTGCTAATTTTAGGAGGTTCTGTTCTATAAGGTGTGGAAGCAAATAAAGTATCCTTTATCTCTAGACTACGTATTCATTACGATCGAACAGTTCTGTGCTTTCTCTCCAGCAAAAAGAAAAAAAAAAGGGTGGTTCATGAGGAATCTTTTTAAAGATTATTTAAGTCTTTTACTAAAAAAAAAAAAAAAATTCAATTAACATTAAATGCTTGCTATGGGGGTGCATGGGTAGCTCAGTTGGTTGAGTGTCTGCCTTCAGCTCAGGTCATGATCTCAGGGTCCAGTGAGCAAGCCCAGTATCAGGCCGTATGCTCAGGAGGGAGCCTGCTTCTCCCTCTCCCTCTGCCTCTGTGATCACTCTCACTTCTCTCAAATAAATGAATAAAAATAACATAAAATAATAACATAAAAAAATAACTAGATGCTTGCTATGGATTAGTCATTGTTGTAAATACTTAAGATACTGCCCATGTGTGCCCCCAAATTCACAGTTCAAAAGCCTCCTCATTCTCATTCTCTCTCTCTCTGACACACACACATACACTTCTGGGCACCTATTCTATTCTGTTGATCATGCGGTTAAAATGACTGAACTCAAAACTATTAATGTTAATATTTTGTAGAGATTCTCCTCCTTTTGCACACACACGGAAATGACATGCTCGCTTTTTCTTCTCAACCTTACATTTATCAATTTATCAGGATATTCTTCTTTCAGTATTGAGAGGCTGATGATCTCCACCTTGAAAACCATGATCTCCTTATCAACACACATTTCTAACAAGTGAATCTTTGGAAATGCTTCACAGTTTAAACAAGATTATCACCTTAATTAATATTGCCAGCAGCTCCTGAAAGGAAGAGAGACTATTTCAAATTTGAAAATGCCTTCCTAATCTATTAAGACTATAGAGTACAAGCTAAATTTTATTTGTTTTCATGCAGTGGAAAATAACTTTGAAAAAACTCCAAGAATTCTATACAGTTCTAGCAATTCTGAAAATAATTCAACAATTCTAAAATATAAAAAAAAAAGTTATTCTTCCAAGTAAGAACACAGAAATAATCAAATCTTCTATCTATAGCGAATAACCTAAAAGCTACATAAAATCAGTTCTAGGAGGGAGAAAAAAATTAACAGCAACCTCATGGTCTCTCACATAGGCTAATTTTCCTTGTAAATAGAGCTCTTGGTAGAGTTCTTGGACTCAAAAATTTCTTTTTGTTTTCAACTTCCATAGTAGGAAGGTAGGCCTCTGATGTGCAAATGTCTTGGGTAATTGTAAGAATTAAAATCTGGTATTGAGTCCATCTTTACTTTTTCTCATTCCTTTTTGACAAGTGGAGGGGTCCTCTCGAAGTGACACAGGGAAATCTGATCCCTCTCCAGAAAGACTGCAAATTCATCATAAAGGCATCAAAGTTCGTAGTCAAGAGTCAAGTATTTTCTGAAATGTTTAATAATTCAATGAATCAGAATATCTGAAGAGTACCTTTACCATTAGGGTTAGTTAAAGACCACAGAGATTAGAAAACACATTACCCATCTCCAAGGCAGTTCTTTCCATGTTAAAAGTCCCTTAACGACCTTTACCATTTCTCCCTCCCTCCCTCCCACACTCTCTCTCTTTTAATAAGGTTGAGCAAATGGGACTTCATTTTATCTGATTGCCAAAGACGAGTGAGATTAATTATTCATGCTCCCACTCCCCCTCTTGTTAAGACCATGCATTAGACTAATTTTTCTCTTTATTGCCCTAGTTGGGTGAGTCTCAGCCCAGGGCCACTTGACTCCCTCTCAGAGCTGTATGGATATGCTGGAAAGAAGGAAAATACTACCCAGAGCGAAAATCTCAGACAAAATACTCTGCACTAATGTGACCGCCGAATCAATAGACATTGCTGGGATTTTTCCCTGTAAGTACCAAATGTATGTTACAAAAGAGCCTACATAAGTGATTACAGAGCAAAGTTTTATTTTAAGTATGATCTCAAGTGACAAAATTAAGGCCCGCGCCTCTTCTGCAGAGAGAACTACAGGAGATGCCTGTGCAGAGGACACCGGGAGGTGTGTCTTGCTCTCTGGCTTCCAGGTAGCTAGCTACTGAAAGGGCACCTGGTGGAAACAAGCATTGCTTAAAAAGAACTTCAGGGGGCACCTGGGTGGCTCAGTGGGTTAAAGCCTCTGCCTTCGGCTCAGGTCATGGTCCCAGGGTCCTGGGATCGAGTCCCGCATCGGGCTCTCTGCTCAGCGGGGAGCCTGCTTCCTCCTCTCTCTCTCTGCCTGCCTCTCTGCCTGCTTGTGATCTCTGTCAAATAAATAAATAAAATCTTTAAAAAAAATAAATAAAATAAATAAAAAGAACTTCAGCAGAAAGTTCCTCTCCCCACCCCCCGCCCCCAGAAACCTTAACGTATTTTCATAAATCCTAGTTTGAGAATCCAAACTTTCCATTTTTGCAGCTGTTCAGATTTCTTTGAAATCGTTTTCTTAATCTATTTTTTTCTGATTTCAAGTGTAATATATATTGTAACACATTCTAACAGAATTACAAGAAGTTGAAAACCTTCTATAGATCCGTCTCAGAAATAACCACTTCAGCAGTTCGGTGTATAGGGTGCAGGACTTCCTTCTGACACAGGTCTGCCTTGTCTGTCTCTGTGTGTATATAAAACTGTTTTCCTTTGAATGGAATTATGTTGTTTTACAACTTGCTTCTCCTAAACAACGTGAGAGTCCTTTCCTCATGAGTCTCTATAGATAGACCTTGTTCTTCTTAATGGCTGCACAGAATTTCTCTACGGATATGTAATTTCATACTGATGGCTACTTGGGTTGTTTCTCTTTTTTAGACCAATAATGTACTTCGTTCAACAGTTAAGTCAACCTATATTTATTAATCACCTTTACAGTAGGTACTGGGATGGCCCAGGACGGCGGAGGACGTGCAGAAGCCTCAGCCTGCTGCCAGCTGTAAAGGTCATCCTTCCACCAGCTGCTGCGCGGCCCCCAGCTGTCCGGCTCCCCCCTACCTGGGACTTGCCTCTCTGAGGAAACCCACCTCACAGCCAGGTCCTTGCATCTGGTGGTATGACTTGTGATGGCAGGGGGAGGGGGCAGGGTACAATCAGGAAGGAGGTGGCAGCCCCAAGGCCAATTATCAGGGGAGCCTGGTGCAGGTGGGCCTGTACTTTCCAGGAGTAACCCAGAATATTTGGTGTGCCCAGGACTGGCTATCCAACCAAAGCTTGAAGGAAAGAGCTGAGAAACGGCTACTGTCCCTGTAGTGGGATAAGGTCCTTCACTCACCCAGTGGGATCTGAGTGTCACTGCAAATGTTTCCTAAATCTGGGACTCCTGTTACCTTCATAATGAAACAGGAGCCAGCCGCACACAGAAATCACTAGGAAGAGATTATAGGGCCTCGAAGTCCCAGACTTTTGGTCATGCACTGCTGGAAGAAGAAAGGAACTCCATTTCCGTTTTGATTTTAAACTTACCCAAATAGTAAGTCCTCCTCATAGTCCTCGATCTGCCAAAGGCATGACACCAACCACCTGATCAATTGGCTTGCCTCCTCAGGGCCCCAGCACTGCCTTTCCAAAGGAGTGAGGAGAGGTCAGAAGGCTTCTTTACAAGATGGTGGCATTTTAAAAAGCACAGTGGGGGACACCTGGGTGGTTAAGCTGGTTAAGCATCTGCCTTTGGCTCAGGTCATGATCCTGGGGTCCTGGGATTGAGTCCTGCATTGGGCTCCTTGCTCAACCAGGAGCCTGCTTCTCCCTCTGCCAGCCACTCCCTCTGCTTGTGCTCTGACAAATAAATAAAATCTTAAAAATACGGGGCGCCTGGGTGGCTCAGTGGATTAAGCCTCTGCCTTTGGCTCAGGTCATGATGTCATGGGATCAAGCCCTGCATCGGGCTTTCTGCTCAGCAGGGAGCCTGCTCCCCCTACCCCCCCACCACCTGCCTCTCTGCCTACTTGTGATCTCTGTCAAATAAATAAATAAAATCTTTTTTTTTAATCTTAAAAATAAATTTAAAAAATAAAATTAAAAAATAAAAAAGCATAAAGATCACTTGTCTGCTGCCATTTAAAAAAAAAGGGAAGTGACAAAGAGAGCTAAAGGTTGGGAGATGCTGGGCTGAGGGTCAAAGATAAAAGGCACGGTGTGGGTGAGGATATCTGAAATCCCTGGAGATGACAAAATCTACCTACTTTCTTTCTTGATTCCCTAAGAAGCCACCCCCATTACTGCCACACATACTTTGCTCTTCTAAGGGGAATAGCCTTGGTAAGAAGCCAAATTCTAGAGAGTAAAGCAAATAATCCTCATGTTCTCTCCAATTCCATCCCAATTATGCTTATTTTGTGCTCTCTCTGTGCCCTTGGCAGAATTCAA